ATGATAGTCATAAATAAAATTCCCGGTCGATTACGCGTCCAAATGCTGAAACATTTATAGCTGCCTGATATTTTAGAATTCCTGGGTAGACGACTTTTGTGGCCGAGAGTTCTAAAAATTGGAGCGGAATCGGGCAGATGACAGGCATTCAAGTAGACACAGTCGCATAAACGGTTGTCCATTATTCAATGTAGGCCACGCTCGTTTATCACTCTTTATCAAACAAAATCTGGGTTGGATTGGGTTATGAGGCGATGCTGTTTGTGGATCCACAATAGGGTTGTGTTGGCTGAAATGGTAATCCATTATGTCCATGTTCGTAAGCGCACCAATGGATTGCGTTTGTGTGGGCCCGGAGCCATGTCGTATGGATTACTTAGTCAGCAATTCAAAGGATGAGTCATCACCCTAGGTATGTGAGCGATGGGAACCCGTGGAGGTATGGATATCAACCAATCAGTAGTGATACGGAGCGCGACTTTCCTATTACCCATCTAGGCCTGCTTATTCTAATCGGTCACTTTCGTTCATCTCGCAACACCCACGTTGTCATTTACCCCGTTTGCCATTTTAATGTGACATTAGGCGGACGTTGTGCATCCAGGAATCGGTGAGACAACCTCGGAAATACCATTCAGTGAGTTCCTATGCCGGTGAGTCCGTGACGTCCAGACCTGAGCCTGTGATTTTTAGTAATACTGTGTTGATAGAAAGACACTTTTGTAGGCAACATTCACTTCGTGGCGAACGAATAACCACACTCGAGGCCGGCTGCTGCGTTAATACGGCCAGGTACTTTTCACCCTCATAACATCAGTGCACATGCGAGGGTCACAAAGGTCACAGTAACTTAGCCTGGATAGTGGATTTTTCAAGTACACTAACCCGAGAGTGTAAAAACATTCGCCGATTCTGGCCTCGTATGCAGCCCTAGAATGCCCGTAATTCAAATCCATTGCCAGCCTGGACTTAACTTGGTCAGTAGACACTGACTGACGACAAAGCCC